TTGTTTCTGGGCAAATGAAATGTGAAAGTCACTTGCCCGAAGGGATGTGTAGCTACTAATGTAGTCTGTTCAGATTTAGATGCAGAAGAACATCTCTGCTGCTCACTGGAGCTCGCTCTTCCTCTTTTCTTATTTTCTTGTTCTTCAAAATGCTCAGAATCAGAAATCTTGATGTTGGGTCAGATCCTAGATGAATCTTCAGTCAAGGTGCTTTGATGCTACGACGTTCTGGATGCTCTGTTCTCTGGTTGTTTATCTGGTCTGTTTTGTAGATTCAAGCTAGAATCCAGCTTGGCTTTATTTTCTTTTGAGTTGGAAAAATACTTTTAATGTTTTTAAGTGAGAAGGTCCACCTCCAAACATTATCTGTGCAGCCAGTTCATCAGGGTTATGATCCAACTAAAATAAGCAGTTCTTGTTTGGAGTGCCAGATCTCCCAACATACTGTAGGGAGGTAGTGCTGGAAATCCCCACTGGGAGCTCTCTGCCTGTGGGGAGTTTCCTGCTGTTTTTAGGGTTTGTGGTAAAAAAAACTGCAAGGACCAAAAAATCCAATAGAATATTTTTTCCGTTTTAACATTTCTAGTTAACTTGGGTAGTTCTATGTTATCTATCTATGATTTCTTTATCTTCAGTCTGTCCGTACAATACTTTGAGCTGATTGGTTGATAAATCAAACTTTTCTCCAAATCCTGTTGGAAGAAAAGCGCAGACATATTTTCTATGTACAAAGTACTCCTCTTTGCTCCTTTTTTTAAAGGAGAAACTGTCGCTATTTGAGCTAAAACCGAGTCAATTGTGTAATCGACAGGTAAGTCCTCCAGCGTAGCCTTGTTTGTAATGCTCCAGCAAGGCCCTTCTGCCTATCGTCATTCCTACATGTCCCGCCCCCCAAAAAACTGCTGGCACGTCATTGATCCGACCCGGTGGTGGATCGCATATTTGTTGTGAAACTGAAAACTAATTTCTCGCGAGAATCCAGCTTGCAGCACAAAGTTAAATGATCAGGTCTCTGTCTGTTTTTTTCTTTTCTTTTTTTTTAACCTTTGGAGTTTTAACTCCCTTATTTTTTTATTTTTCATATGCAGAATGTCTGCAGAAGCAGTGAGAGCTTGCAGGTAGTGTCTGTCTCCCCGAAAAACTCCTGATTCAGCTTTTCTGATCGGTTGACGCTCTTGCATCCAGTGGCAAAAGCTCAATTTACTGAACTCCAGCACTGAACGCTCGGATGCTCCAACACCTGAATGCTTGGACGCCAGAATGCACGAAATGCGCCACTCCCGACGCATAAACGTACCACTGGAACTCTCAACACTGTCCACCTTAGATTTTGCATGTAAATCAGAAGGGTTTGACGCCCCTAAAGCCTCCAGTTTGAACGCAGCTTTAGAGCGCAGTTTAGTTTTTGGCTAGCAAGCCAGTGATTATCATATTTAATGTATTTAATGTTTAAAATATTCCAAATATGGATCGCTGGCTAAAACGCAAATCTATCGTATCAACAGAGGAACCAGCTTCTAAAAAAAACAACTTAAATCAAAAGCAATGCTGGACACAGTGATGTCGGGATTGACCCAGATACCGCCAATCCTCCTCCAACAGGCATCAATATCATTAAGCAGCCATACATTTTGGGGTGGGATTATTAGTTGATGATGACTACAGGTCTTATGTTGTACTAATCATACCTCAGATTAATATTTTAGGATACTTAATTAAGGATGTGTGAGTTTATTACACCCTATTATTACCTGCCTGTTGTGTTTCAGAACTGATGTTTTCCCCAGTAGTTTATCCAATTCCCCAGATATACATTTATTATCTTCATTTTGTACGTGGCAAAGATATGGGAATGGAATGAGAGCGAAGTCCTTCAGCTAAGAACAAAGTGTAATATTTTGTTTAGGCTGGAGCCATGGAAGTTTCCTTATTTGCAAACCTTTGTGATGTAATGATGTGATTTTGCAGACTGGAGATGTATAAAATGCTTCTCTTAACTGTTAATCATGGCCACTTTATGAGATGTGAGCCCGGTTGGTAAGCAGCTGCCTTCTGTAACCCTAAACAACTTCTCTGATCTGAGTTAGATTACATTCTCTTTCAAAATCTGTTGTCATGTCTCCTGGTTATTTAATACCTATAGGTTATAAAGTGTTATTTAAAGTGTTCGTCCTGAGTGATCTCTTATCAGGAAAAAGAACCAGAGAGAGAAAACTTCAAGATGTAAACAATGAGCTTACCTTTAACAAATGCGTCACTTTTATTTTCCACCTTTTGTCTTCCTAGCTGTTGTTTCAGCTACTCTCTTGCCATTAATCTAGCATCTTGATTCATATGTCACAGCTAATATACGCAACGGTTGAAATCAGAAATCAGAATCATTTCCTTTCCCATGGAGTTCCGTCCCAGTGTTCACGGGGATGGACGTCTGTGTCTTCAGCAGGCGTAGAGCTAACAGAACTGGCAGCGTTGCGAGGCAAGGGCTCAAACATGTACGGCTGGAAGCCTTCTACACCAAACCAAGCTTCTGCCGCCCTGGCGTCCTCTTCCACAACATCTTCATCCCCGCATTCCTCCTCTAAATAAAAAATGGATGACAGAGGAGACTCATCCATGACCTCCGACACTAAACTCTCCTCCTCTTGCATGTTTCTTCTGTCCATAGCGTTCCTTGACAGTGTTGTTTCTAAGTCACTAATTTAGTGCTAATTGGTCCCAATGGAATTTCCCATTGGGAACCTACTAGCACTATGTTGCTAACTGGTTAGCAAGATGCTTCCGACAAACAGGCCACAACCAAACTTGCTTGCCGGCCCCCCTTGATAAAGGACCAATGACATTCACTTTATTCACTCGTTTGAAGTGTTTTCTTGCATTCAAAGTTTTTTTTAAGTAATAATTACTGTATACAGCCTCTTGGTCACAAGCTGCATCACCAACAATCAAGCAACTAAAGTTAAAATCTGTAAAATGTAAAAAGTCCACCGATTCTGATGGGTAAACATTGGTCACATTCTGAGGTTGAGCTTATGGCTCCATTTTAATCAATTAGCAATCTTGCTAATGCTTTATTTGTTTATTTTCCCCATACAGATTCACAAACATGGCAGCCACACCTCAAGGTCCCATGGTCCGCCGGCCATTGGCGTTCACAAATGAGGAGCGGAAGGCTGTCCACTCCTGGTCCCGCATCTCGTCAGCCGGGCAAAATGTCCTTCTGGATGCTCTGAAGATCCTTAGCCCCATGTCTAGAGACCTCTCGAGCACCGAGGAGCTGGTGACTTTCCTCCAGGAGCTGAGTGAGGAAGGTCACAAGCCCACCATCCTGCGGAGCAAAGATGTTTACTGCTACCGCTCCTGCACAAGCCTTCCCATGACTGAAGAAATGCTCAAGTTGGTCAACAAGAATGTTAGACCCACTGCTAAGAAGAGGAAGAGGAGGCCTCAGGTCAAGAAGCGGGAGGTGCACCCATCCTGGAACACCACTGAGAGGAGCAACCCAAGGATTCAAGGGATTCGGCCTCCAGAGATGCTGATGGACCATCATGCCATTGTCTGCAGCAGGACACCCATGCAAACTGTAGAAATGTTAGAGGCTGACATCCAGCCGTGCCTCAGACTGACCAGTATCCAAGGTCTGTCTGGCTTCCACACGGCCAGACTCCAGATCCAAACTGTTTGGGAATCCGAGATGCCCGCCGTTACCTTTTCACCGCAGACGCACCCGATGACACTATCAGGAATACCCTCTCAGCCTTCTCAGAACGGCGGTGGGGCACCCACTAAAGCCGTGGCCTTGTTCAGCCAGAAGAGTCTGTCCTGTCCGATCCGACTGGATGGCGCTCTCATAGGGGATTCGGCTCCGGTCTTCTATGCTAACGGTCGGGGGTTCTCACAGACTCACACAGAATTGACCAGCAACGGCTGGAGGGGTAACTGTCTCCACCAAGAAGTCCCTGGATCCAAGGGAATAACTGGCTCTGCGAGGCAAAGGAATAGCTGGAAGGACAAGAAAGATTTAAGGCGGAAAGTTATAAAAGTGGATGACTCTCGGTCCGTAGCCGAGGCCTGCAGGAAAGCGCAAAAGATTCTGCAGGTCAACCTTTCTCCAGTGATTCAGATCCAACCTCTCAACCATGTGCTGAGAGACTTCAGATTTCAGAAGAATTAAAAAAAAAACAACCCAAAACTCTCTGTCCTTAGCAGATTTTAGTTTTTTTCCATTTGTCGGCCTCTGCGCTGCCGGGGGCCGTGTTCATAGCAGATATCTTAAAAGTGGTTATGCCAGGTGTTGGGCTCACGATAGGAGTTTCTGGAACTTGTGGATCCTAACAGAAGCATCTGACGTACAGTTTGCTTGGAAAAGCCCCGTCTGTCGTCCCTGAGGTGGTACATGTTCACTGTGTTTAGTCGATGCCACAATCTAACGGAAACCTCCAGTCATCCAGCTGCTCATTTGGACACGACGTCCGCAGATATAGGTCAGTCTCCTGCCCTTTAAGGTGTTGAGTACGGACCACTGTTGTGAAAATATTTAAACTCAATTAAACGGAACCGCATTTTGTTAGAAATGTAAGTATTTTTCACTTTTTTGCCGCTCTGCTCTTTTCCCTTGAAAGAAAGAAAAATGAAGTCTTGTTTTTTTTTTTTTTTTACTGAATTTCAACTAGAAGGGGGGAAATATTTAGTTTCTGTTTTTAATTAGTTTTTTTTTTATTATTTTCAATCTTTGAGAGGTAGTACAGGTTTGAGGGCCGCAGAAACGTAAATTAGATGTTAAGTTATTCACAAAGTGTTCCTTTGGTTGACTGAGAAATACATTGTATATTAAATGTTACTGCAGGGAATATTTGACTCTTAGTTACAAAACTTAAAGAAATTATTCTTGAAAAAAAAAAACATTAAAAACATAATTGGCCTTTTATTGTTTCCAGCTTTGTGATTGAGGAGATCTAAGAATATTTATATTCAGTTCATCGGTTCTGGGTTAAGTTTCCTAAGATTCTCCATTAGTCTGATCATTTTTTTTCCAAGTTTCTGCAAGCGTTTTATAATAATCAGTTGATTTTAACACTTTCTGGGGTTACGCTCTCTTATTACCATTTTAAAAAAACGCTTGCATCAATTCTTGTCTCCAATCTCCTTTTTGCCCTGAGCTAAATGATCCATATATCTGGTCCTGCACACAAAGACAGCCGGATTGCAGAATCAAGATAATTTTAAGATCTCTTTATAAAAAAAAAAAAACATTTTTGAGTCTACACTGGTTTGTGCAACAGGTGCTAACTTTTGTTGTTGGTGCTGGTCCAAGAATGTCCGTTCCTTTAATGTCTAGTTCAGATCGATGCATTCAGGAGCAGCGACTTCTCTTTAGGCAGTGTCAGCACTGCTGCCCCCTACAGGTTGGGGTGAGCATGACAAACTGTTGTCCATGCTGCTCCAAGAGTTTATACTGTGAGGAACCAGCGAAGTCCATCGTCATGTCATCTGTGTCAGCTCTGTGTATTCATCGGTACAGAACCAGGCTCTGAGACCTAAGCAATCCTTTCCCCCCCAAATGCTTATACACAAACTAAAAGTAGCTTTGTGAAAGAAAAAAAAAAAACTTTTCAAGTAACATTTCTGAAGCTTTTATTTGTTTGGGTTATTCAGCCATGTTTGAAAGGTTCAGAAAAAAGCTGGTACATAAAACTAGTTTGAAGTATTTGCAGTTCTAATTCTGTGAAAGGATTTGAATGGTAGAAAAAATAAAAATCAAGATTTGCAGGTGGCGATTGGTTTAAAGATCAAACTAAGGTTGTTTCTGTGACGACATCTATTTCCCTGTTTTAACTGAGACTGCATCAGTGTTGGGTGATCACCTTTACAGATTCTTTATCTGTTCTGGTGAGCCGTATGATCCCCCCCCCTCCGCAGTCTTCGTGTCCATGCCCTTTTCTAGACTGTTTCTGTCTTGTTTGTGCAACATTTGTATTATAATGTATTTCCTACATGATCTTTGAAAAACTTTTTTGTTCAATAAACATTTAAAAAAAATGTTAATCTTTAAGTGAGACGATTTTTATACAAAAAAACTCACATGTTGAATAAGATTATTTCAGACTGCAATCAGTTTTATGCTTTTTTTATTTATTTCTTTTACTTTGTATTTTTTGGCGCCTACTTCCAGTTTTCCCCTTCGCTACTGTTGCACACATGGAATGTCACCCAAGGTTGGCTGATCCATCTATCTGGTCTGAAAATATACAAAACGAAAGAAAACAAAACAGGTAGGTTTACCAGAAACGGCTTTAAGAAACATCCAATGGTTCAAGGCCGCCTCCTTCCATACAGATTTAATATTTCCCTCCAGTTAGCCCACATGATTACAGGAAAGTGGAATCCTCCAGAATCCCTAACAGATTCAGAAAAGGCTAGTTGGGGCCCCATCAATCAACTGACATCTGGCTAGAGTTACTTTATATGTGCATGATTCATTTAACACAGCTCACGGTGTTTGTTCTCACACTGTGCGACCCGATGCTCTGATGCGATCTACCTGCTCACACTCGATGTCTAAAAAACATGTTGGACTCAGCTTCGCAGTGAGATGGGGCTACGTGGACTCATCTATCCGGAAGCCATACGAGTAGGAGAGGAAAAAGACGAAAGTGTCGAGGCCTCCTTTTGAATAATGCAAAAGGAAGCATAATCAGGGTTCCTGATTATGCCTAAAAGGTCTTAAAAGGCATTGAATTATTCAAAATAAAACTAAGGCCTTAATTGGTATTAAAATGTCTTAAATCAGTCTTTCGTAGGTCTTAATTTTTAAAACATCATAAATACAATTATTTGTATTATGATTTATTTTTGTAATCTAAAGAAAACATTGAAATTGACAACGGCTCGCCATTATTGGTTCCGTCCCGATAGCGGAATCAATAAAAGCGTTGTTGCGGCCGGAACATTTGGGAGATGCGCCATTAACTTTTGTCTGGAAAATATAAGCAAGTGTAAATGTAACAAAAATCTCGAAAAAGGTCTATCCAGCCAAGAGTTTTCTCCATGGGTAAAACCAGGGAACATACATGAGGCTCAGTGGATTTATGCAAGAAG